CTGCTGGAATAGACCCATTATTTTTTTATCACCCATTAGGTGTGGAAACTTCGAATATTTTTTTTTCAAATAATCGAATTTTAGCCACATTTTTAGCAGTTTTTTTTTAATTTGGTATTTGAAACTCTCTATAGCAGGAAATCGGTACCATCAACATAAATTCTTTTTTAAGACTTTTTAGCAACCGATTTCACTGGAAAAGTGGAAGTGAACCCCAATATTCAAACCCGATTCTTATATTTTTAAAGTTTTTTTACCTCATGGTGGAGGGTAGTAAAAGTTCGACCTGGCCAAACTATACGCATGTTGTTTTGAGCCGGATCCATTTACCTGACATAGACAACATAGGTTTGAAAGCTTATGAAAATACCTAACCAATAAGTGGTCACATGATGGTGTGATTTATAAGCGGTTCGGAAGTTATAGTCAAATTATCGAATTTTGGATGCGAATTTTTTATAAAACCCCCGAAAAGTCGAACAATGGCCCATTATGGGAGACAACAAAATTCACGCCAAATTATAGCTGACACTCTTACCTTTCCAAAATGCTACGATTTGCTCTAATACTTTTTTCGGGTCTAGAGGTATGGGTCTTTCCACACGCACAACCCAAAAATTGTCCGAATCGGGTAAGTTGATTCGGGTCTAGTCCAGCTTTTGAACCCGAAGTTTCGGGTAAAAAATTCCTGAAACACATGTCCGTCCCCCAAGAAAAAATTGTGGACAACCCCAGTTAAGTAAAAACTTTTCGATTTTTTCGAAATTTTTCCAGAGGTAGGTATTTTTACCCTGACTCCGGGAAACTATTTTTTATTGGGGGACGGAACTCTTAGTTTTACTCATGGTACAATGAATTCAAGGTAGGGCAGAACTACCATATGATTTAAATTTTTTTATTTTTCTGGCTTAATATGTCAACTTCATTTGCTTATGTGTGTGTCTTCTTTTCAATAATAAAAAATTGTTCAGAAAATATTCAAATTCGGATGTTTTCAAAATGCTTATTGCAACGAATGCATCGACAAAATCTACAGTTTTTGTCGCGAAATAAACCATAAGAGATATATAGAACATGATATTGAAAAGAAATTTTCACCATTCATTCAGTTTTCGCGGTTTCAAATTATTTATTCAAAATAAATGCAACAAGTTGTTTGCTTTTTTATTGTTTTGATAGTAATTCTGACATTACAAGCCAAACAGGTAGACCTCTATACTTGCAATTTTTTCAAAGTTGACCTACCTTCTCTTCATTGTACCATGGTTTTACTCTAATTCCGAGAAAATATTTTTTTCTTGGGGAACGGACCTGGGACCCCAGATTTTTGACCTGGACCCGGATCCACTTACCCGATATAGGCAATATCGTTTGAAAGCTTATGAAAACACCTATCCAACAAGTGGTCACATGAAAAAGTAAGTGTTCTGAAGTTATAGTCAAATTATTGGTTTTTTGGACCCGGATTTTTTATGAAACCCCCAAAAAGTCAAAAAATAATGACAACTAAATATTAGTACTTTATATAAAGCAGATGGCAATGATGTTCATGTTCGTTCGTGATGGCGATGATGATGATGATTTGGATGGTAATTGTCGACTATTGATTATACCCTACACCACATAGTGGTAAGGGTATTATGTCTTTGTGCATTTGTTTGTAACATGGAGAAGGAAACGAGATAGACCCATACTTACTTTTGAGAACCTTCATAGAATCACTTTCTGAGTCGATTTATGCATGTCAGTCCGTCTGTCCGTCCGTCCGTCCGTCCGTCCGTCTGTCCATGTATTCTTGTGAACAAAATGCAGGTCGCATTTATTATCCGATTGAGATGAAATTTTCCAAACAATATTTTTTTGGCCCAAGGACGAACCCTATTGAAATTGGTGAGAATCGGATCAAATTTAGATATAGCTCCCATATATATCTTCATCCGATTTCGGGTTAAATGTGCACCAAATATCCACTATCAGTCCAAATTACCTGAATTTTGGCACACCCAACAGAGTTCGGCCTAGAAGCAAGTATATTAAATTTGGAGAAAATCGGTTCAGATATAGCTATAGCTCCCATATATATATCTTTCATCCGATTTGATCTTTAAGTCCCTCACATTCCTACTATGCACTCCACAACCGTGATATTTGGTACCAGGTATTAGATGGAGCACAGAAATAGCTGTTTTAAATTTTATCGAAATCGGTTCAGATTTGGATATAGCTCCCATATATATCTTCATCCGATTTCGGGTTAATTGTGCACCAAATGGCCGATATAAGTCCAAATGGACTGAATTTTAGTACATCGGACCAAATTCAGCCTAGAAGCAAGTATATCAAATTTAGTGAAAATCGGTTCAGATATAGCCATAGCTCCCATATATATCTTTCATCCGATTTGATCTTTAAGTCCCTCACATTCCTACTATGCACTCAACAACCGTGATATTTGGTACCAGGTATTAGATGGAGCACAGAAATAGCTGTTTTAAATTTTATCGAAATCGGTTCAGATTTGGATATAGCTCCCATATATATCTTCATCCGATTTCGGGTTAATTGACCACCAAATGGTCAATATCAGCCCAAATGGCCCGAGTTTTGGCACATGTGGCCGAGATTAGCCTTAAAGCAAATACAACAAATTTGGAGAAAATCGGCTCAGAAACAGCTATAGCTCCCATATATATGTTTTATCCGATTTGGTGTTTAAGCCTCTCACATTCGTAATATGCAATTCACAAGAATGATATTTGGTACCAGATATAAGATACAGCCCAGAAATAGCTGTTTGTAATTTTATCGAAATCGGTTCAGATTTGGATATAGCTCCCATATATATCTTCATCCGATTTCGGGTTAATTGTGCACCAAATGGCCGATATAAGTCCAAATGGACTGAATTTTAGTACATCGGACCAAATTCAGCCTAGAAGCAAGTATATCAAATTTAGTGAAAATCGGTTCAGATATAGATATAGCAACCATATATATGTTTCATCCGATTTAGTGTTTTAGTCCCTTACATTCGTAATATTCACTCCACAACCGTGATATTTGGTACCAGGTATTAGTTGGAGCACAGGAATAGCTGTTTTAAATTTTATCGAAATCGGTTCAGATTTGGATATAGCTCCCATATATATCTTCATCCGATTTCGGGTTAAATGTGCACTAAATGGTCAATATCAGCCCAAATCACCTGATTTTTCGTACATAAGACCGAATTCAGTCTAGAAGCTAATACGTCAAATTTGGAGAAACCCGGTTCAGAGATAGCTATAGTTCGTAAAATGCACGATAGAATTAGATAGATTTTGATTTTGTACCAAATATCTCATAGAGCTCTGAAATGCCCTGTATAAACCCTTTTACGAGAGCCCTACTTAATATGCATAGTGGTGTAGGGTATCATATAGTCGGCCCCGCCCGACTTTTGAGCTTTCCTTACTGGTTTAAAATAATGAAAGATGATGAGTTAGATATGTGTGTGCTTGCTTTTGTTATTGTTGCTGCAGTCGGTCGTTGTTGTAAACAAACCTTGTTCGTATTTATCGTATAAATTAATATGCTGCCGAATATGATGTTGCTGTTGTTGTTGTTGCTTTTGTCGCCGTTCGATAATGGCTAAACGAAATATTTAAAAGAAAGAAAAAAAACATCCAACGACAACAACAAAATATTATTTGGCGGTGCTGCTGCTGCCAGCCAGGCTAACTGATAATGGCAGGTTGATGATGTTTGTATGAGCGCGAGCGTTGTTGCTGTTGTTTACTCTCCAAAAAGACAAAAAAAAAAAAAACAAACGTTGAAATCGTAACAAAACACACACCGAAAGAAAATATTCTTCTTCACAACACTTTGTGTACTCTGTCGTCTTAACAACTGACACAGACAGACAGATTGTATTTGAGATGACTTGAGTAAATGATGAAATTTATAATTTCTTTTTATTTTTCTATTTTGTGTTTAAACTTTCTTCTTCATCTTCAACAATCACTGCACAATGAGAAGTTTCCGAAAAAAATAATTTCTTTGCTATTTTTTTGCTTTGCATTACTTGAATGTGGAGCGATTTTTAATTTGGTTGGTCTTCTTGTTTCAATGAAGTTTTTGTTTTTTTCTTTTTGTTTTACACTGAGAAGAACCTATTGGGTTTTCGTTTCTTAATAATTATGTTTAATCCAAGATTCCTTCATTTAGTTTTTTTTTTTATATTTTTTATTCCACAATACAATTATTTTGTTGCTCACATTTATAGTGGATGGAGGTTACCACTTTTGGTTGTTTGCATTTGATATTTTTAATTTATCTGTTTTATGTACTACACACGCACTCTCCTCCGCTCTTTTAACAATAACTCACTACTAACTGGCTTTTTGGCCCGCTCTCGTAGAACACAACGCACAAAAATGTTATTATTATTGTTCTAGTTGCTGCTGCTGCTGGCGGTGGTGTTTTGTGTGTTCTCCCTCCCCCTTTCTATTGCTTACTTCTTTTTCGTTTTTTTTTGCTGCTTTGCTTTTGCTGATATCTACCTTTTTAACCAAAAACAACAAAACAAACACACAGCAAAGCACTCTTCTTCATTCCTCCCGAGCGAACGAGATTTCACTATAATCTTTTTTCAATGTTGTTGCTGTGGTTTGTTGTATGCGAGTGTCACAGATTGTCTCTGTGTGTGTGTGTGTGTGCATGCGTGTGTTTGTTTGAATATGTATAGCATTGCCTTCTTTTTCTCACTTTGTGTTTTTCATGTGCATGCTTCTTCTTATTATTTTGCGTTTGCTCTCTCTCTCGCTCGCTCACTCACTCACTTTTTCCCCCTCCAACAAAGCAAAAACAAAAAAACACACAACTCACACAACCAAACAACGGCTAATAACACACTTGCTCAGTTGTTGTTGTTGGTGTCGGAGCACGGGCTCGCGGCGAGGTACACAAATTTTTGTGACAACGAACGATATGAGGAGAGTAGTAATGATGACAATACGTACGACCAACACGACACTCACAGTTGATTTCGTCAATTTCTCAGCACTGCTACTGCGGCTGCCACATTTATCGTCGTTGTCTTCTTCGTTGGTGTTGCTGCTATTGCTATTGTTTTTGTTGTGTATTTGTTTTTTCTCGTCGTCGCCTTCACCACCACTGATGATATTTTTTTATTCTTCTTTTCTTCTTCGTCGTCTTCTTCTCGATAAATCACATTAAAATTTTTTTCTTGCTTCAATGTGAAATTTTCATCGATATTTTTCAGATCCAATTGCATTTTTACATGTTTCCATTGATCATTTTTATCAATGTTGGCCACTATTTTTTCTTTTATTTTATTTCTTTGTATCTATACGTTAGCACTGTATGTGGTATGCTCCTCTTTTTTATGTATTTTTTCCACCGTGCCGTACGGCTTTTACACATACACAAATTTGTTTAAACAATATTTTGCTAGATTTTTTTTAATTCTTTCCTTTTTCTTTGATTATTCGAGAGAAAATCCGACAATTATTTGGTGTAATTTTCGCTACAAGTGCGTCTCGCGTTTGCTAGCGTATGGTCGAACGACGACGTATGGAGACAATACTCGACAAAAAAACTGCACACACAAACGCATACAGGGGCACTCTTTGCAATTCTTGGGCCACATACACACAAGCAGACTCTGTCACACGCACACAATTTACCATTGTAATTTACATTGGTCGCCCCGCGCGTTCATATGGTTGTCTCTTTTTGGCGCTAAATTTGCCAGAACCCAATTGGAAATGTTATTCTTGTTAGGATTTGGAATTTTGCAAAAACCTCTGGAAAATGGATACCCAACATACCAAAAATACAATACAGCTTGAGAATAATATTATGAAAATAGTTTATCATAAGAATTTTTCAACAATGCTTGAGAAACACTTTTTTGCACAAACTTTTCTCAAATCTGTCCTTTGTTGACAAATTTGTTTTGATTTTTTTTGTGAAAATTGGTTAAAATCAAAACCACGCGAATTTAGGACCCATTTCCGGACGAAACTCTAAGGTAATGATGAATAATAAATCTGGGAATCTGTAGTATAAATTATTTCAATCTCATTTCAGAATGGAGGCGTCAAAAAGTTGCAGGAATTCAACAGAAGTGAAGAATAAGTGGAGGAGATACAGAAGCTCAAATAAGGGGAAAGAAAGCATCTAGGTATCAAGGCAACAGGATGCAGTGACAGCTGGGATGGCAATCAATGAATGAAATGTGTAAAATAATTAAAAAATGAATAAATAAATATTTTTTACCATTGAAAAAATAAGCTTTATAAAATATTACTTTCGTAAGCTTATTCTGCAATTACAAGAATAAGCTTATGAATAAGGGTTCCTTTTCGATTATTCTATAATTGTTAAACAAACATTTCTCAATACATTCTCAAGATTTTCTCAAGCTTTAGGCTTATGTTTGTAAGCTTATTAAAATATTATTCTCAAGCCATTTTGGTATGTTGGGTAAGAAACAATAATTTTCATTGCAAATGTTATATACCATTTAGACGGCTCGATATTTTTTATGTTCCATTCACATAATGCTGGAATTATTCTCATCAAAGTCTGTTGGGATTTTTTTGCACTTAAGGTACTGCAAAAATTTCCAATTGGGATTGTTATATTTTGTATACCACCTTTTTGTGCTTCATTCGTAATTGTCCCAGGGTTGCCAATGTAAACACAAAATATATCCCTTAAATTTTGTTATCGGAATTTAATTTGATTGTGAAATTAGGTGTAAAAATTATTAATTCTTGTTGATGTAAAGGTGGGAACATAGAACGTAGAAAAATACAGGTAGATGTATCAACGCTTGGAAACATTGATATATCAAAATTGTTGAAATGTTTTTTCAAAAATAAGTAGATTTTTATATGTTTTCGTATACGACGCCAATCGGAGATTGTTGTGATATTCGTTTTTCAACAATTTTTCCGAATTTGAATAAATTTTCATTCAAAATTTTCAATTTCAAATTTAGTTTGACAGTTCATTGTCCCAGCAGCTGTGTCGTATCTTCTACCATGGGTGGGAATACACAGAAAGCTTTTCGACTGGCTTAAGTCATTGGCTGACTTTTTCAAAAAGAAAAAACAAAGGAATTCTATGTTGACTTAAGGTGAAAGTACATAAAAGGCTTTTTTGACTGGCTCAAGTCATTCGCTGGCTTCTTGGAAAAGGAAGAAAGGGGTTTTAGGTTGACTTAGTTCGATTTTGGCCCTATGCTGCTTGGTTCCTTTCCGAAGAAGCTAGGCGATGACTTAAAGCGTTTAATATATTCTCACCTTTAGTTTAATTTAGGCCCGTAATTTATACTTTCTCACCCTATTCTACATTGTTCTTTTATGAAGAAGCCAGGGGTTACAGCCGCTTACGGGGTGAAATAAAAAAACTGCAACAAAGTCAAACGCCATAATTTTTACATTTTTTTAAATTTTATTGAATGAAAGCAAAAAATCTCAGAAATAGCATCAAATGTTAGAATAAGTTTAGATTTGTTCGAATTGGTCACCTTTGGCACCAATTATGGCCTTCAAATGGCCAATGAAACTGTCACACGCTGCCCGGTATTTTGCTCTGCGGTATTTTGGCCCATTCCCGGCGAAGCGCTTGCTTGAGGTGATCGACATTTGGTATTTGTTAGTGCCAACCTTGCTTTTTGAAGTACTCTAGACACAATAGTCCAACGGATTGGTATCCGGAAATTTTGGTGGTCATACGCTGTGCGCTGGAAATGAAGCGAAGAGCTTCATTTTGTAATCATTCTTGGGTGGCACGTGTTGAGTCCTGTTGAAATGTCCAAGGTCTACGGCCGAAATGTTTTTGTGCCCAAGGCTTTAATACACCATCCAGAATATTTTGCGCGATAATAATCGGCATTTATTCTGGTGCCACGATCGATTAATACGTGCGAAGAGCGATCATCGGCTGTTATGGCGGCCAACTGAAGGTGCACATTTTCAGCTGAACTCTTTGGCAAGTAAACCCGATCATTTTGTTTGTTTACAAACTGCTGGACAAGGGACGTTTACTCATCGCAGAAAACCAAATTCGGCTGTTCACCACTTTCGGCCAAACGAAGCAACTCTTTAGCTCTTTTGCGTTAATTTTCTTTCTGTTGCGGTGTAAGTTCTCTCACTTTTTGGAATTTCAATGGCTTAACCCCGAGATCATTTTTCAATATTTACCGAATGGAACATTGCGATATGTTCAGCAAACGAGCCATTTTTCGGTCATTGCGACGCGGGTTTCGATCAAGTCGCTTCTTTCTTTTTCGAACCATTTCCGCAGATATTGTCTTTCGTCCACTTCCTTGACGTCGGGCTACGCTACCAGTATCACGGTAAGAATCGATGGTACGAGACACTGGAGTGCTCTAACGATAGCCACTTGTGGTTTTCTAGCAAAATATAAAGAAATCACACTATCACGCTTGAATTGTCATCACGAATAATTTTTTTCTTCTGGAAAATTCTCACCAAAATGCTTCTGTACGTTTGTAAACAATATAGTGAGCTGTCACTGGAATAATTTTAACAGCTGTCGGACTTATGCCATGTTTACGTTAGAACTTTTTGTAGGGTTAACCTACTTAGAGAGGATTTATTTGAAGTAAAAGTAATGGATATGACAATTTATTTTTAAATCCAGTGGGTTAACCCTCATATATATAAACGTACTATTAGAGTGGCTTAGGAATGACAGCAATCTGAAGTTGGTTGCAGTTTTTACATCTCACTCTGTATAAACGTTTTTTATGGTTGTTTTTTTGATAGTAACACGCTCGTTTTTTAGACCTTCAGAAGTACTATTACCAAAACCAGCCTGGACAAGAGAGTTGTATTTTCTTATCCCACCTGATATATCTTTTTATATATCTTGCACTTTAATTCATATAATATTTAAATTAAACAAACACCCAAAATTTTTTTAATCAGGATTTTATAACTGTTTTGACGCATACCTCTCGATGAAAATTATTGTTTTTACATGAAATCAATTGTAAATGCAATTTTACAAATAAATTTCTCCTACGGGAGATTTCAAAATTCCCCACAAATTCCCAAAAAAACGGCAACCCTTAATTGAATTTTATCGTCTATTTCGTTTTTCTTCGTTTTGGCCAATTTTAATTTTCCTCCACCAACACATACAGCTATATATCGATTTCCCTGTCTCTGTCGCTCGCTCGCACCCACCCCTCTTTGTTGTATGTTTTGTTGTTATGGTACTGCATGGATGGTTGGTTGACTGCTGCCGCTGCTGCTGATGGTTTTGACTCCCGGCATTTTCAAGTTTTTATTGTTTTTTTCATTCTCCGTTTTAATTGCTTTCCACATACACTACACCACCACCAAAAGCAAATCACCACAACTTTAAATATGGTTCTCTTTTGGCTCAAAAAGAATAAAAACAACAATAATAATGAGGGAGAGAGACAGAGTAGATAAGTGAATAAAAACAACGCCGTTAAGTGTATTTATTGTGGACTCTAGTGTTGTTTGAAGAAATAAAATATAAACAAAAGTATCGTTTTGTATTATTAAATTAACATAATTTTTCAGTGCTTTGAAAAATTGTCTGTTTTTTACATATTTAGGAGAATCGATTTCAAAGAGCGGACTGTAAACCGTTACGTTGTTGAGAACTAATATGGCAGTAGTTTGATGCTGTGGTATAATGTGTAGATGGCGTTGTTGACTTTGATTTGGTAAAATCATAATAAAATATGAAGGTAACAGATAGAAGAATATAGGTAGACGCATCGACACAGCTGTTGGGACATGAAATGTCAAACGAATTTTGGAATTGAAAATGTTGAATGAAAAATTATTTAAATTTGTTGAAAAAAACGAGAATTATAATAACCTCCCAATGACGACGTATAAGAAAACATATACAAATCTACTTATATTTGAAATAAGATTTAAATTTTTTGACATATCAATGCTCCCAAGCGTTGATGCATTTACCTGTATTCTTCTGCCATAGAAGGAAATGTAAAAGCATGGTAGAATCAGAAAGGTAAAATAATGCTATCATATTTTTACAATTTTTTCAGCGCATGCTGGGTGCCATTGTGCTGAGTCCTGTTGTAATGTCCAAGGTCAGCGGCCAAAATGTTTGCGTCCCCAAGGCTTTAATACACCCTCCAGAATATTTTCGCGATAATATTCGGCATCTATTCCTATGCCACGGTCGATTAATACGAGCGACGACCATTGGCTGTTATGGCGGCCCACACCATTACCAGGGCCGGCGCTTGAGTTCTGGTTGCCAACCGTAGGTGCACATATTCAGCTGACCTGAAATGTCACATCATTTTGTTTGTTTACAGTTCAACACTTTCGGCCAAGCGAAGCAACTCATTAGAGTCTGTGTTCTTTCTGTTGCAGTGTAAGTTCTTGAATTTTTTGGAATTTCAATGGCTTTATCCCGAGCTCATTTTTCAATATTTGCCGAATGGAATATTGCGATATGTTCAGCTCACGAGTCATTTTTCGGCCACTGCGACGCGGGTTTCGATCGGGAGTAGCTTCTTTACTTTTCGAACCATTTCTGCTGATGTTG